AGAAGCTTCATGGTGTAGGAACTTCCCGAGATGTGTTCACTGTTCTGTGTCCAATGCCTGGCACGTGTTTTTTGAATGATTGCATACTGTATTTCATATTATTCACACAACAACCCTGAGAGGCTGGTGTGATTACTAGTCCAGGGTACAGAAAAGAACACTGAGGCTCAGAGACATGAAATGGCCTAAGGGAGGTTTTGTGCATACAGACTTTGTGGTCAGATTCTCTGGGTTCAAATCCTTTTTCTTTTAACAGCTACGTTTAATAGCTCTATGTTTCTGAGCTATAGTTGCCTCGTATTAACAGGGACATTCATGGAAGCTCCCTTAAAGGGCTGTTATAAGCAATAGACGATGAACATAGGTGTGCTGTATTAATTATATTTACGGGTAACAGGTACTCCAGAGCTTCAGAGCTCCCAAATCTACTCCAAAGCCCAGGTCTTAGTAGGTACCGTGTGTTTCCTCCGTCATTTGGTCAATTTCATGAGCTTTTCTTTTGCGGATCCCAAGTTTTGCTTCTGTGTATGTTTTATGGTTGGCAAAGGCTATGTCCAGGCTGGAGACAGGAAAAGGGAGAAAAGGAGCCTGCCCTTTTCCTTGGTGTAGCTTCTGCCTTGATTAATGTTTCTTGTTTTTAATTGCTATTGAGTCAGTTCTGATTCATAGTGACCCTGTATAAAGTTTCCGAGGAGCAGCTGGTGGGTTTGAATTGCCAACCTTGTGGTTCTCAGTCTTCACTAGCCTTTCTCTAATTCACCCTTCAGTTAGAGAGAGCTCCATCCAACTGGACGAGGCCTTGGCTAAACTGTGGGGCCCCAGGCTTTCCCTCACTCAAGCTGCTGTCCTTGCTGGCTGTCAGAGGGAGCTTTGTAGGCAGGGTCCACCATTCATACCAGTTACCCTTCTTCCTGGTAGGTAACCTTCATAAATCACCCCTTGGAGCCTCAGTTTTCCCAAGTGCAAAATGGTATAGTCATTACCTCTACCTCAAAGAATTCTTTTGAGAACAAAATGAGGGGAAAAGAAAACCAAACCCCTATAAAGTGTGTGCCAGTGCTTGATACATGCTGGTATCTGCCCTTCCCTCTATCCGTCAGCCATCTTAAGCTGCTGAACTCCTACCCATCCTTCAAAATCCAGCTCCTCAGATGTTCTCTAACTTACAAATCACTCTAAAATACCAAGACAACATTATATGGCTCGTCCTCTCTGGTCCCAATACACCTTGTACCTGGCTGGTATTACTATCTGGGATGCCATGCAGAATACTGAACAACTGGCTAAATGTGGATCCTGTTCCATCAGAAGAGCAACTGGCCTGGCACTGAAACCGTTGGAGGTGTCACCTTTAGTTGCTGGACTGTGAAAGGGTCCAGGAGGTCCCAGAGGTTTAGCTGGAGGACAGGCAGGATAATGCTTTGTTACCAACTTGTGCTCAAGTATTTGAATATTTGAATAACTGCACAAGGCACAGATGCTTACTGATTCAGCCCGTGCTTATCCCATTGCTGTGTGACGTGCTGCTGACTAGCAGACTGTGGGCCCGAGGGCCAAGAGGAGGGCTCACTTTAGCTCTCTGTGCTCCTGTGGAGCTGGGGGTGACACGTAGGACGTGTGGGACGTGAGTGGGACTAACAAGGGTCCCTAAATGATCTCCTTGGGACCCTCCATTTGGATTTGCGTTCTGACCCAGTGAGAGGGCCTCACCAACTAGGATTTCAGTAAGGCACAACCCTGGATTAGCATATTCATAGATGCAAATGCACCCCTTTGATGTACTGCACTGGTTCTTGATTTTTAAAAGAGCTGTACTTTTGATATGCCTGCAGCCTGAGTGTGGCAGGAGCTTGGCAGAGAAGATCCTTCAGGCTCCGGCTCTTGGTCACCTCCAGAGCCCCGTCTCTTACCCAGCCAGACAGCACAATCTACAAGTCCTCTCCCCTCCAGTTCTTCACACATGCTGGTCCTTTCTCGGAATACTCACTCCCTTCCTTATGTCCCCAACTCACTGGCTAACTGAGTTTCTCATTTAGCTGTTACCTTGTCTTTCCCGTTTCCCATCTGGTGACATTCCTCTCTTCTCAACATCTCTTTGTCAATTACATCAATTGCTGTTTATTATTCTGACTCTCTCATTGCAAGGCAAGGTCCAGTTCTTACTCACTGGGTCCTGACAGCTACGTCAGAACTCATTGTATCTACTCAATACTGGTAGACTTGAGGGAATGAATGAGTGAGTGATTCAATGAGCGTGACTTTGCTATTATGTTTAGCAGATTTCTTAGGAAAATCGTGGAACTACAGGAAAAAAAATGTGGGCAGTCTGAGTCGAGACTCTTGGAAAATCTTTGTCTTCTGTTCCAACCAGGCACCTTCTTCCATCTCTGCTTTTGCAAGACAGAAGATGGGGAAAGACCTAGCTTGATATACAGTCAAAGAACCAGACAACCATGAGTGAGGTAGGAATAGCCATGTGGGTTGTAACCACCTTCTTGAATGGAAAGAAATGGCCTGGGAAGCAGGGATCCTGGCTCTAGTTCCAGATTCAGCTGTGGAATTGCTTCATCTTGGGAGATCTCAGTTTGGTTCCCAGTCAGTGTATCTCAAGTACAGCCAGCACCCATCTGTTAGGGGAGGCTTGGGTATTGCTAAGATGCCAAATAGGTGTCACTGGAGCTTCCAGACTAAAACTACACTAGGCCTGCTACTTCAGAGAATCTTAGATCATTCAACTCAAAGGCGCTAAAAACAACCACATTAACATCGCTGCTGTTACCATGGAAATTTCTACTGCTACCTGAGTGTGGAGCGCTGGTGTGGCACTGTAGGAGAAGCACTGGACTTATCAGTCAGTGTTAGAAACCATATACAGGGTTTAAGTGGTTACTGATTCGATGTTACTTAACAACTTTGTAGCTACTACTAGTAATAACAAATATTACATAGCATTTTACATTGTTACATTCTAAAAACTTTGATCTAACAATCTGATGAGGTAGGTTCAACTGTTGCCTTCATTTTACAGATTTTGATAAGACTGAGACATAAAAAAAAAAAATAATAATTTGCTTAAGGTTCTACACTGGCAACATCATAATGCCTGCTAATCTTTGCTGAGTTTGGTCCCTGTGTGAAGTGCTGTGCTGAAATTTAATTGCTTTGCTTTTGGCCTAAAGAAAGGGCTGTAATTATCTGAGGAAATTGTGGTTCAAAAAGATTTCCCTCAAGCTCAGAGCCAAGATTTGACTACAACTTTGCTTTATAACTCATTTCTATTCTGCAAGTCCCTTTTTGATAAGGCACTGATCAAGGTGAGCTTTTAAGGCCTTTCTTTTCTTGGTGTGGCTAAACCCCCACCTTGTAGTTCTTCTGATGGGAGCTAGGACCATGGCAGCTCACGAAAGCCACCAAGAACCTGTGTGTTTTAGAAAAGCTAGCTACTATCAACTAATTTGGAACCTCGCCAGATGGGCTGCCACAAATATCATGACCAGTGACCTGATAGCTTAGCAACAATCTTCTACCTTTTACTGCTCATGTCTGAGTTTACTTTTACCTTTGCAACAATGCCTCTAGTGTAATAAGTCAGTCCATTTTCCAAATGAGGAAACTGAGGCCAGCAAAGATGAAAAACGATTTGTCGAGACAAGACTTGAACCCAGGCATTCAGATTCTCTGTCATGCTGGAAAGGTTCCTTCTTAAGGCATTTGTAATCTGCAAGTCCTTAATGCCCATGGGCATCTCTACAATGGGGCCTGTGAGAGTTGTGGAAAGTTCTAGTTAGGCAGAGGATTTGAATGAAATTAGAGGACAATGGTGATAGAGGCGTGCTTTGGTTGATGAAAGAGTTTTCCAGAATGCACTGCAGATGACACCATTGTGTCAGTGCTGCCTAACTGTTGGTGATTACCACCCTCCCTTGCTGAACCTCCATATTAGCACGCTGAGCTTTCCTGTCTTCCACAGGATACTTTCTAAGGGAGCAGCTTCCTGAAGTTTCCAAGTTCACCCTTATCTAAAAGAGACACATCCCTTCATAGCCATCAACAGTAACTATAGGCTCTGTTTGCATTGAATCACCTCCTGTGAGTTTGCCACTTTAGACTCTACAAAAAGCCTTCACATACTTTATTTTATATCCTCAACAGCCTCATTTAGAAGTGGTATTGCTTCAAGTTTACCAAAAAGAAAACAAAGGTTCAAAGAGGTTAAGCAATTTGCCCAAAGTCATACCACCAGGGAAAGACAAAGGGAGGATTTGAATTCAGCTACAACTCTAAATTGCTTATCCATGAAACTTTCTGGAATGAAATTACATGAATACCAATTCCAGCTCCTCCTTTGGAGCTAGGGGGCGGGGGCACTGCATGGTTGTCTTTGATGTCACGTTGCTACATCACATTGCCCTGATCCATGGTTTTTGGTTTTTCTGTCCCATTTGTGGCAGGGATGAGTGAGGGCCCTCAACTTGCAGACCCTGTGTGGACAATTGAGTGTGCACAGGTTGGGTGTGATGAACTTCCCGGAGGAACATCGTCATACAAGCTCAAGGTTGTATTTGTGAGTAAAATCAAATCCCAGTTGCCAACCATTGCTGGTGACAAGCTGGCATCAAAGCTGTAGACTTCTCTTAAAAGCTCAAGTATTTGGTGTTGTGGCCAAACCCCCTTCTTTTTCTTTCTCCCCAAAGAAGTCTCTGTGGTGTCTCAAACATGTATTCCAGTGATAACCCTCAGGGACCCATATGTATTTTTCAATAGTCCCCTGATGAAAATCCCAGGTATCTTCATTTCTCTCCACCTCAAGTCCCCATGCCAAGTGCTGCCCGAGAGGCTGGTGAATGGCCCTTTGGTTGATCAACAGTGATGTCTGAAGCCAGCAGGAAATTTTGCCAGAAACTGCATTGAAATGCGTCGTCCCCTGCCCTGAACTGATGCCTCCCCCTCCTCAAAAGTTGTGGCCAGAGCAGACGGAGGCGACGGTGCGGAATACTTACTACACCCCTGGCCGACAGGAGACTGAGCATCTGGAGGGGCTGGCTGGGCGGCTGGCTGGACCGGGCTTCAGGACTGGCGTTGCTGAGGGTCTTGGAGCAGCGGCGGGAATGCCTCCTGTGGGACTTGCGTCCTTCCTCAGGGGACCGGCCGCGGTGCCTGGGGGCAAGGGAGACAGACTCAAGGGTAAGGAGGTGGGTGAGGGACCAATTGAATCTGGCAGCGTGTTTGCCTGGATGTGTTGTATATGTTCACGTGCCCCTTTACCCCTGGTTATGTGTGTGTGTGTGTGTGTATCCATTCCTCTCTACCCTTCTGTCTGTCCATCCATCTGTCCATATACTCACTCATTCATTTATTCTCCTGTTTGTTTATTTGTGTACCTGGCAGTGTCTGGGGAACTGGAGACACACCCATGAAGCAGACAGACAAGGTCTCTTCCCTACTTTAGTTTAATGTCCCGTGTCTGTGTGTACATCAGAGTGGGTCCATCTGTGTGTGTATAACTACAACTGTATTTGTGTGTTGTACAAGGGGGCTTCAAAAATGTTTGTGGGGAAGCTCCATGAGCTATTCATTCATTTTCCACAAACTTTTGAAGCCCCCTTGTACATGTGACGTTGATATCTGAGGTGGCTAACTGCATGCTGCCCCCATGACAAAACTGTCTTCTATATATCTGTTAGGTAGAGGTCTGGCTTCCTTGTCTGCTGTGGGAACCAGATGAATGTCGTCTCATTGAAAAGGTTGTTTGTGGATGTTACAAAGCCTTTAACTCTCTGAGTAACTGAAACCCCCACCTTAGCGGTTTGCACAGTACAGCACACTCCTTTTAAGGTGTCTCTGCAGCCCTCCCCACAACTTGCAGAGATGAGACTGGACAGGAGTTCCTTTCCCTCTAGACAGGTTAAGAAAGTTGGGACCTGCCTGCGGTCGTTCAGATCCCAGGGCACGGCTTTCTATCAAAACTGGTGCCTTGGAGTTTTGCTCTGGAGTGCCCTGCTCTGCTTCCTTCCCGCTCACCTCTTTGCCAGGTGTGTAACCCCCATGCCTGTAGGAGCACCCTAGGAAACATCTCTCCACAGGTGGCTGTGGGCAAGGAGGCCCTGTATGGTCCTCTGGCCAAGCAACACTGATTCACCTTTGGTAGGGAGTGGGGGTGGGAGGGCAAGGGGTCCAGTCCCACCTCTGATGTGGGGCTTTGGTCAGGCCCCTCTGCTCATCAAGACTTGTCTCCTGGCTATACCGTGACTGTGGTCCAGTTCAATTCACGGTTATCAGCTAAAAACCAGGAGACACCAGCCTGTGGTTGGACAATCATACCTACTGTCTGCTGCAACAAGGGAAGTTGTGGTCTGGTGCTGTAGGATAAGCGCTGGACTGCTAACCACAAGGTCGGTAGTTCAAATCTACCAGCCACTCCTCAGAAACTCTATGCAGGGTTGCTATGAGTCGAAACGGACTTGATGGCACTTAATAACAAAAAACAGCAACAAAGGGAACATACAGAATTTGCTGTAGGGATCGGGTCTAGGGGTCAGCTGCAGGGACCCTCTGTTAGGCTTGGTTGCAGAGACCTCCTGCAGCGATCAGCTGCTGGAACCCACTGCAGGGACCTCGGGGCATCTCTTTGGGCTTGTGGAAGTATAGGGGGAGTTTTAAAGAGACACTGAGACTGCAATGCACTCAAACACCCTAACATGGCAGTTGGTAATACACAAGGCTGCTTTGCGTTGGGGTCAGTTCAGTGGCATCTAACAGCCTGGTATTAGTAAAGCAACAGCGGTTACTTATACTAGCTAGGTATGGGCTGTTTGATCATGTCTGTGTTTCGGACAGATTTCCTGTTTCTGTCTGTGTGCAGATGTGATGATGGAATGATACACGTGGCCTGCTTGGACAATCAATTGTGGGATTGTTGATGTCTACCTGGTAGGACCAGGCCAGCTCCCGACTTCAGAGGCAGCTTTTCTCGTTCTCAAGGACATTTTCCACTTGCCTACCCAGTCACACTACCTGGGAGATGTAAATCCCCGTGCCCTGGCCCCACCACATCCTAGTTCAATCAGTGTCTAGTGCAGTGATGCAGAGACTCTCATGGTGTGACTGTGTCTTTGACATTGTAGCTGGCACAGAGGAGGATCTGAATACATATTGCCTCTTTGTGTATGATTCTCACCCATTGGAGAACCATCCTCTCTCTTTTCTTGGGTGGAGCGAGCCAGTATATCAGCACAGATCGGGTCTGGGTTAGGAGAAAACTGACCTCAAAATGCCTCAGATTTGCTTTTTTACTGTGTGCCTTTTTGCAGGTTTCTTAGCTTCTCTGTGCTTAGAGCAGCCTTGGTGGTGGTGGTGTGCTGTGGCGTCGGTTCCAACTCAGAGTGAGCTTGCATAGGGTTTCCGAGGCTGTAAATCTTTATGGCAGCACAAAGCCTCATCGTTCTCTTGCTGAACGGCTGGTAGGTAGTTTTGAACTGCTGACCATGAGGTTAGCAGTCGGACTCACAATCACTATGCTACTAGAGCTCCTTGAGAGCATTCTTAGTCAGAGAATACATCACAACCAGACTTGCTGGTTCCGATTCCACCTCTATATGTGACTAACAAGTGTCTTAACTTCCCCGTGCCTCAGTTTCCTCATCTCTCAAATAGGGATATTAATATACTTACTGGGCATCGTATGGTTTTATTCGTGTGCAAGGAGCCCTATTGGCATCATGGATTAAGCATTGGATGGCTCACCACAGTTTTGGTGACTGAAACCCACCAGCCATTCCGAGAAAGTTGAGGCTGTCTGCTCCCGTAAAGAGAGACAGACTGGACCGCCACCTCACAGCATTTCCAAGGCTGCCATCTGTACGGTCAAGGGCAGTGGATGTGACTCATGCACATAACCGTCCCTTTGGTTTCCAGGGACAGAGTCTGGGTGGAGGCCAGGCTTACCTGCCCTCACAGCTTGATGACCGGGACTCGGAGCTCAGGGACCGCGAGCGACGGCGGTGACGGCGGTGAGACTTTCGGGGCCGGCTTCGAGATCTTGGGGTGGGGGTGGGAAGAAGGAAATCGGAGGAGGAGGAGAGAGAGATTTTGATCTTGTGATGCACAGTTTCTTCTTGTCCCCAAGTCACCATCCGCCCCCCTACCCATACACATTACCCTGCTTCTTGAGTGAGAATTCAGGGGCATCGAAGCAGGTGTACTACACACAGGTGAGGACAAGGGCCCTCTGAGCATCTCCCCCTGTTGACCACACTCTGGGCAGGAAGCCACCTCCACTTGTCACCTTCCCTCACCTACATCAGGAGTCTGAATTTCAACAGGTACCATGAGGTGGGAGCCAGCCAGGTGCTCCAAGAAGTGGCATTAGCAGCTAGCTCCAGTCATTTTTCAAGTAAATGTGGAAATGCAGATTTTTATGTAAAATATCTCTTTTTTTTCCAATGGAAACTCATTAGGAAGGGAGGGAAAAACAATGAAGCATACAAAACACATTTGCAGAGTCAATTATGTCTCTGGGCCGCCAATTTTGTAACCTCAAGCCTAGAAAATGGAGTCAAGATTCTTAGCGTGGACTGAGGAGACTTAGAGAATTGGCAGCAAACATCATCAATAATAGAAATTACAAACTGAACAATGACTGTCCTTAAGAATAATGAGGGTTCTATTACTACAAAGATGTACGACAGATTCCAGGGCACCTGATGCCACTAACAAAGGCTTGTCAGTGATTTGGGTCAAGCCAGGAAGGACGCCTATGGGAGGTAGAGATGACTCTATCAGGAGGTAGGGTGAAAATTCAGCAAAGGACACAGGGATTCTTCTCAAGTAATAATCAGCATGCCCCATTCCCACTGAGATCCTCCCCATTGCTCTCATGCCAAGCCCACACTAACTCTGAGCTTGACCCCCAGCTCCTGCTTGACAACGACCCTGCCTCTAGCCCAACCTGGCAGAAGTTCCCACACCACCACATGGCTCGTGTTCTGGCTCGGGATGTGTCCTTGATGCTGCTGAGGATGGCAGGTAACCTGCATGCAACATTGAGTGCCAGGTCCTGGGGTCTGAGCATTTTCCCAGTACGTCTTGAATCACAGGAAAGACACCAGGCAGAGCAGGGTTTGAGAAACATGGTCTCAGGTGTGGATGTCAGAGATGGAACCATCTCCTCCTGCCGTCCTCCACCTCTCCTTTCTCTGCCTCAGTTCTCCTCAGTGTGCCAGCACAGGGGGGACAACGGGGACCCACATAGCTGTGATGTGTGCATCAGTCCCATTCAGAGGCGAAGTATATCATGAAGGCAGTGGTGATTCAGTGGTAGAATTCTCGTCTTCCACGGGGGAGACCCGAGTTCGATTCCTGCTGCAGCCACCACTCATCTGTCACTGGAGGCATGTGTGTTGTTAGGAGGCTGAACAGGTTTCAGAAGAGCTTCTAGTCTAAGACTAGGAATAAATGCCTGGAGAGCTCATTTAGAAAATCAGCACATGTTGCAACTGATCATGCAGATGGAGTCACCATGTGACAGTTAGTATGGCATGAGGTAGATTCTATTATTCTCCCCATCTTATAGATGGGGAAAGTAAGGCACAGAGATGTTTAAACAATGAGTGCCTAATCTGCAGCCTCCCTCCTAAACTAGACACCCTCCCCTCATCACCACGTCTCCATGCCAGGACACTGTCTGCCAGCCTATGAGGGCCTGGCTCAGGGATGCTGAAGGAGACCTGTGGCATAGTGGGTTAAGTGAGCATTGGGCTGCTTACCACAAAATCGACAATTCAAACCCACAGGTCCCTCTGAGGGGAAAGATGGGCTGTCTGTTCCCGTAAAGATTTACAGTCTCAGAACCCCTGTGTAGCAGGTCTCCTCTGGGCTGTAGGGCTCCGTGGCTGGGAGTTGGCGTGGGTTAAAGACATGTTGAAGAATCCATGGAAGCTGCATCTTTCTGAGGCCCTGGGGTGGCACTGCGGGTGAATGGGCTGCACTGCAAGGTTGATTTGAACCTCAAGGTCAGTGGTTCAAGCACACCAGCTGCTTCTCAGAAACCGTATACAGGGTCACTATGAGTCAGAACTGACTCAGCGGCACTTAATAACAACGGTGCTTGCTTGTTTAGAAGGAAAGCTGGCTACAGGATTTGGTGAAAATGTTAGCAGGCCCCAACTCATCATGGTGACCCCCGTGCACGCTGGAGCAAAATGCTACACATTCCTATGACGACCCCATGATCACTGTGAGCCACAGGCTTTTCTTGGGCTAATTTTTGGAAGCAGATCTCCAGGACTTTGTTCCTAGCCCATCTTCATATATAACAGTTTTTGAAGCTCTGCTTAAACATGTTCAACACTCTGGCACCAGATCGTCCTTGATCTTAGAAATGCCTTACCTTGCTCAGCTTCTGTGAGCAATTTCTGGGACCCATCCAGCTCCTGGCATCAGGGAGGGGTTGGAAACCTCCCTGCCACTGTGGCTACCTATCCTGGGCCCTGCTGGACAAGTAGGAACCCTGGAGGCTCGACGGTTAAACATAAACACTTGGCTACTAGCCGAAGGGTTAGCACACCTCAGTAGGAAGAACTGGGTCTCTGTCCCTGTAAAGAGTACAGGCTAGGAAGCCCTACGGGGCAGTTCTCCTCTGTCACTTAGTGGCACCCAGAGCAGTATCACGGTACAAGGGTGCTGAGATTTGTGGGAAGTGTGTACACGGTCTGTGATTAGAACGGCAGCATACTCAATGGTAGGATCAGGATTGGGCTCTTGGCTCGAATTGAACAAGCTAATTGACCCAGAAGTGCTCTCAGCTGATGCCAGGCGCCACTGCTTCCTTCCTGAGCATTCTCCAGGCTCTGGTGGTGGCCAGGATGTCCTCGTTCACACTGACCTTAGGTACAGGGCCCCTCTGGGCAGCAGAACTGAACACCCTCCCTGTCCTCCTCCCCAGAGCCGCCTGCCTTTTATCCCTCACTTTAGAAACTTCTTAGTGGGAGATAAAACCTTAGTTGATTGGAAAGCACAGGCACTAAGAGTTGCAGGATATAAAGTAGGTGGGTTGTAACCAAATTTACTTTTAATTTGGCTGGGAACGGAACTCCGCAGGCAGTGCTAGCTGATTTGAATTTCTACTACCAGCTATAAACTATGAAAACAGCTGGGGCCCCATGACTGGGGAAAGAAGGCACGTCATTGAGATCCCCACACGGTAAGTCTCAGCCGCCAGGGCATGTGCACACACGTGACAGACACACACAGCGCACCCGTCTACACTGCAGAGACCAGCTCCCATCAGCACAAGCGTACACAACCATTCCTGTGAAGGCAAACACACACACTACAAACAAGGGCCAGTCATGAAGTACTGCTATCTGAATTCCAGTTCATGCATGCACCAGGGTGTGTGTTTAAACATATCTCTGTGACCAGTGGATTCTCAGGAATACACTTGCCTTAGTCTTATTAGGGTGCCTGCCAAAAAAAAAAAAAAAAAGGTCCAAGCAAACCAGTGGCTTCCAAGAGGATCTGCTGGACCAGTTAAATTCAAAGCAGCTCAGAGGTGATGAGGACTGTTTTTTGGGATTTCAAAGGGATTCTCAAAGGACACAAGCTGATCCTGGGGGCGGATTGTGAAGAAGTCTTTCAGGAAATTGAGAACTGCAATGGGGAGAAAAAGTCAGGAAAGCTGTCCATTTTTCTCCATCACACACTACATCTATCTGCTCAGTCTTCGAGGGTAAAAAGACTGCCCTATGAGGATTTCACTGAGAACCTTTACTCCATCCGACCCCTAGCCCTGATTTCCCTTCAATTGTTTTTGGTTTCCTAAACTCAAATATTTACAAACGCAAGTGTTTAAAAGGGACACAATTTCAGATACTTGAGGATGCCGAAACTATCTTTGGATGTAACATAAATTGAAGCGCACAGAATTTTTTAAGGAAGGGTTACAGAGATAAGAAACATCGCCTTCAGAAGTATACAGACCTAGATGGATGGGAGAATACATAAAGAAACAAACTCCTCATTTGATAGTTTTGTTTAACAAAGGTTTCTGTGGTTTTGTAGCAATACTTTTTGACTGACCCTTGTACACAGAGTGGACACCTGCATTGTATACATTTATATATACTTACAAATGTTAACCTGATGTAAAAATGTACAGACATTTACAAACAATGTGCACACAACACACAAGTGGCAGATATGTGTATGTACATACATGTATAGAGGCTAGAGTACTCGTATGGCACTGTAGGATTAGCACTGGACCACAAGGTCACTTTGAACTGCTAGGTCAGCAGTTCCAACTTACCATATAAAGGGTCGCTATGAGTCAGCACAGACTTGACAGCACTTAATAGCAACAACATGTGGTGGTTGTGTGCCATCGAATTGGTTGCAACTCACAGTGACCCTGTATACGGTTTCCGAGGAAAAGCTGGTGAGTTTGAAATGCCAATCTAGCAGTTCAAACTGACCTTGTGGTTCACCATACCAGGGCACTCTTTCTCCATATATATGTGTGTATGCATGTGTATACATATACACACACAAACACAGAATTCATACGCATGCATTCATAAACATACCAGATACACAGGCATGTGCCCACATGCATTCTTAAGCCCACAAGTTCAGGTACCCACAATTCTGTCTTCTCTCCATCCCTCTCCTTTCCCTCCCATTCGCTCACCCTGTTCCCCCTACTCTCCATTTATCTGGCAACGCCCACACTCAGGTTTTAAGAGGGCAGATTCCCCACCTCCCAAAGTGACAGGGCCTTCTGGGGGAGATCCACTTACTGTTTTTTGTGCTTCCTCTCTTCCTTTCTCTTGCTTTTGGGGCTAGTGGAGCTAAACAAGAAATGACCAATTAACTGAAAGATGCTACATTGCATTTACAGATCAAAGTATGCAAGCAGTTCAAATGCCTGACTGGCTCAAGTCACATCCAAGCAGTTTTGGAACGGACACAGAGTATCTTCTGCCAACTCGTCCACCCACTTGTGTACATGAACTGAGACTGGGGATGGTGCTGAGGCCAAGTTCAGCTTTGGTAGGTTAATAACAACAGGAACAAAGGTAAGAATAACCGTATCTGCTGTCTTTGAGGCTCTATGATGGAGCCGAACACGCTGCAATTACTTTATGTGACCATCTCACAGTCTTTTCCCTACTTCCTGTGGGTGTGGCTACATTTAATTAGGCCTCACTTGTACAGATGTGGGAACTGAACCTCAGATGAGTAAAATGACATGGCCCCAGACCTGGGAGCCCATGATTTTGATGGCTGTTCAATCCATTTGTAAGAGACAAGAGTCTCTTAGCAACTGCACAGAAGCTGCCTCAATGATCTGCAGATGTTCCAATGTTCTGTCCGTTAGTTTTCAAGGGGTTCAGGACCAGGGTGGAATGGGCAAATACTAACTGGGGTTTCAAGCCACACTGACCTGACTGAGGTCCTGTGAAGGAAAACTCTGTAACTTAGCCTGGGCAACGGAGAGGCTCAGCCCTCACAATGAAGTCTGAGTTTGAGTCCCAGCTCTGCTGCTTAATGGCTGTGTGACAGTGGGCGAGGCCTGGCTCCCATCCCTGTAAAGTGGGGTGCTGTCAGGCTGACTTGATGAGTATTGGGGTTCCTGAGTGTCACCTTGTAAAATGAATACAAGGCAGGGATTTGTACCCTGCAAGCTGCTCCAGATGCAGCCAGTGTTACCTCTGGGGCCTGACACACCTCTTCGGAGTCTCCGTTTCCTCATCTGTAATATGGGCATGATAACCATGCCTGTGGCTCAGGGTTGTAATGGGGATGAAATACACACGTGAACAGACAGAGCTTGGTGCCTAGTCTGACTTATGGTGTGTACCCAGGAGCTTTCTACGTTGCCAGTCTACCAGGACGTAGCACTGCAGGGCTGAGGCTGTTTACCCAACCAGACCCGGGGCACCAGCAATGAGCAAGCCTTTCTAAGGAGGAACATTGACAGGACCCACAAGTTGAAAGGTGGGCTTGGAACATGTGGAGAAACCCCTTAACTTTCTTGGGTCTCAGTGTGTCCAAGGACCTCTCCAGACAAGAGAGCCAACCCTAGATGCTTCCCAAAGCCGATTTGGAAAACCAGTAAGCTACAGCCCACAGTCAAAGGCAAGATTCTTACCTGTGTCTTCTCTTCTTGGAGAGGAACCTGGTTCAGGACAAATAAATGGGTGGTGGGTAGAGGAAGGGAAACAAGAAAATAAATGAGTGAGTGGGGGGCTGTTTCCCTCAGCATATGTCAGTGTGTTTGTGGTAAGGCTGCCTGGAGGGGGGGCTGCCTAGCTGACTCTGATCCCTCATTTCTCCTTGGGTTTCAGAGACCATGAAGACCTTGAGGGTCTACCTGCTCTTTATTCCTGGTCCCCACCTCAGAAGGCCTCTGATCCTGGCAACCAGAGTCTGCCCTCACCCGAAACGCAGAGAAATAACCTCAGTGACATGATCAGCTTCCTAATGATCTCTTGGCTCCACCCACCTAGGTGTCCCTGTTTGAAAAGGATGAAGGACAATACCTGTGTCGCTTATGCTTCTTGGAACTTTTCTTCTTCTTCTTCTTGACAGGCGAAGGACTATGTGACGGGGACCTGCCGGGCGAGGGGACACCTGCTTCAGAGGAAGATTCCCAGAGGGGCCTCACCTCTCTCAGAAACACACATCAAGGGCAATCCTGTTAGCCTGCTGTTGGCTGGCAGCTGGTCTAAATGTTAGCATGTGCTCATGTGCATCTCCACCAGCTGGGTGTCCTGCGGTGGCAGTTTGTGTGGTGTTCTGATACTACAAGTGATGCCACCAGTATCTTAAATCCAGCAGGGTCACCCATGGTGGACAGGTTCCAGCAGAGTTTCCAGACTAAAACAGGTGAGGAGATAAAAGGCCTGCTGATCTTCTTCCTCAAAATCCTGCCCGACTCGCCTGCTGTGGACATGCCATCAGGAGCGATCAGTTGCTGGGGGTGGGAGGCATCTTGCATGACCAGTGAGGGTGAGGGAGGTGGGCTGGGGGTGGGGGCATCGTGGCTTGCACCCTAGCTGGAACAGTGGAATCATGGGAATGACATAGGACCACGCCATGTTCCTCCTATTTCACATAAGGCTGCTGTGAGGTAAGAGTTGACTTGGCAGCTTGTCTATGTGTCTGTCTGTCTGTCTCTCTGTGTATGCTCTCATGCATACTCCCACATATTTCTAAGTAGGGACCATTGCTACCTTCCTTTTAAAGGCAGGGAAGGGCAGTTCAGAGAGGTAAAGTAACTCCCAGCTAGGAAGAGACGAGCTGGGGTTTAAGTTGAGGTCTCTGTCCCTGCTGACGCTGCCCTGGGCCATGAAGATTTCTTTCTGCTTCTCTCTCGAAGCTGTGCCCCTTTCATGGACTTTGTTGTCTCCTCTGCCCTACCTTGGTAAGCCTCAGCCTCCTAAGGAGTATCTGGTAGGCTGTAGTCAGCACTGTGGATACCATAAAGGGGTTACCCCAGAAACAGGCTGCCTAGGCTCACGAGGACCAGGAGACACAAACCTTACCCACTACCATCCAGTCAACGGGGACTCAGCAGCCCTGTAAATAGGGTAGTACTGCCCTAAAGGGTTCCCAAGACTACATTACAGAAGCTGGCGGTCCCATCTTCCTCCCAGAGCAGCCGATGGGTTCGAACTGCCAACCTTCTGGTTAGCAGCCAAGTGCTTAACCACTGACCCACCAGGGCTCCTTTTGGCTGAACTAGTTCCCAGAAAACCTGGGTTGGGGGCACATCATCCAGAAACTGCTCTCTGCTGCCCCCTGCAGGCTTCTCTAAGCACTGCCTCCAAAACAAGGTTTGGTGTGTGTTCCTTGCCTCTCCAGAATTTGAGCCCACCTTGAACTACAAAGTCGGTGGTTCAAACCCTATACAAGGTCGCTAAGGGTCAGAACCAACTCAATGGCACTGAACAGCAGCAGTCTGGGGCTGCAAACACAGTGTGCTTTTAATCTCTTGGTAGACGAGTGGAAGCCTAGACTTCGACAACTGGAAGTCTTTTGAAATACTAAAACAAACCAGGAGAAACTACATATAGGATATTAAAGGTTATAGCAGGAGAAATGTAGTTTACTATCCTTGGCATTTATCCTGGTTTGTAGGGTGAATTGAGAAGTCTGGGCTACGGTGTGGTAGGCCTGTCTCTCTAACTAAGCCTTCCATTCTTATCTCTAAAATAGACACAGGGTGGCTAATCGAAAAGGTTGGCAGTTCGAACCCACCTAGCTAGAGATAGGTCTGATAGTCTTTGCTGTTATTGGGAAGTGCTGTCTAGTTAGTTCCGACTTGTAGTAACCCTGGAGTGGGCTGGTGGGTTTGAACTGCCAACCTTGTCCTTGTGGACAGTCCAGTGCTTATTCTACAGTGCCACATCAGGACTCCAGTGTACTTTGTTGTTAAGTGCTGTTAAGCTGGTTCTGACTCATGGTAGCCCTGTATAAGGTTTCTGAGGAGCAGGTGGTGAGCTTGAACCGCCAACCTTGAGGTTCCAACTGAATTCGCGGGCTGCCATAAATCTTACAGATTAGAGAACCTTATAGGGCTTGTGACTCTTGTCATATGAAGTCACCTTTAATGAACTGGATGGCACTGAACAATAGGACACCATATTTTTTTTTTTCCTTCAATCTTTTAAGGCTTAGTACTCTTACCTTCTTCTCTTCTTCCGGGTGGATTTCTTCTTTTTCTTCTTACCCCTGGAGTAAGGCGCTGGCATTAGGTCTTTGTCACGGGAGGCACTGTGGGAACAGAAGGCCAAGTGTTAAGGACCAAAAGGTTGTAGTCCCAGAAGGACCCCAGTTCCCTGAGGAACCAGGAGCTCATTAACCGCTGTGTGAACGATTTGGTTACACTTCAGATTAAGTGCCTCAAATAAGGAGTTAATGCCGCCCTAATGAGACAGATGCTCAGCGTTACCTAAACACCAATTGATTATTTAAAACAGCTATAGAGGTTAACTACTTCTTAATAGATTATTGAATTTGCAAATGGCTCGCCTTGGTAAATAAATCACTTTTTAAAGTATTAACCAGCCATCCCACTCCCACCCCTATGTCCGTCTTTCCTGCTGGAAGTGTAATTGGAGACAGAAGGCTTGTGCACTGGCAGCTGATTATCAAATATCTATTTGCCAAATATTATTTGCCAAAGTCTAATGTAACTAGATACGTATCTCATAGTGCCTCACCGAACCTCAAAAAACTCTACTCTTCAAGAATAATTATTTCCCGTTCAATTAAATTCAAATGCTCAGGCTGCAGTAAAATGAAGGCAGGTTATCTCCCTATTATAATTGGGACTGGCTCCAAGACAATTTTTTTTCCCCAAAAAAAACACTATCATATGGCCAAGGGAGGTTGTTTTGGATGAAAAACTGCTTGGGAATTTAGACATGCTAAATCAGTTGAACCTCAGTAGTCAAAAAATGAATAGTAATATTAGTGTCATTGTTAATAATGCAAGCAGCGTTTATTCACTACTGCTTAGGAGCCAATAATTGTCTATATTTCAAGAGCTAGAGAAACACACAGGGTGGCCTGACCTTGTGAGATTCATTCTTACCATCTGTGAAATGGGGATACAGTTGCAGGAAGCTGCCCAGGGTGGAAGTGGATTTGGCCCCAGGCCAGTATGATTTCTCTAGCGTCTTCCTGAACTTGCTTGTGTGACTTGTCTCTTGGAAATTACTCAGCTCTTTAATGTTGTTGTTAAATGCCATCAAGTTGGTTCTGACCCACAGCAACTCTCTATAGGGTTTCCAAGGAGCAGCTGGTAAGCTTGCACCACAGACCTTGCAGTCCAGCGCATTAACCCACAGCGCCACACAGAACGTCATACTATGTTGCACTATGTAATTCCATTTTAAGATTCTACATCATTATGCCTAGTAGAAAGAAAAATAGGGCTTCAAAAAGTTTATGGAGAGAGCAAACAAGATGGCAGATTGGGTGGAAGTGCAGTAAAGAGCTCCGCCAACAACAACACAGAATACCCAACCAAGCAGGCTCAGGGGATG